TCCGTAAAATACTTATGTACACTACAAATAAGACTATCTACATCTAACACACGTCTAGGCATTTTTAAAATTTCCACTAAATTTACAATGTACATACAATGTCAACACTTGCAAAGAATCAATTCAACTGCAATATTTGTAACAAATTTAGTACCTACCCTAATGTTATTTTAATTTAAATCTGATCATTAGGGCAATTTTACCTAACTTCTTGGGAACAGGCTTATTGGAACTGGTTGTCAATGACTAATTTGCATAATTTTGTTAATCCGAAAGCCGCGTAAGTATAGCGAAGAGACTGTATATTTCTTTACGCACTAGTGAGGTCAATACACTCCAATTTGATAATTTTCTTTACGCACTCAGTGCGTAAATAAACACTCTTTACGCACTAGTACGAACTCTGTAGCGTGCAAAATGATAGTATTTTAAGAACGGTAGTAGAAAAATTTCATTAACTTCTAAAACTCAACAAGTATTTCGTCATAATCTAGCAAAAAAGGCCAAGAAAATAATAATAAAAAAAATACTCGTAAGAGTCATAAAACTTTATATGACCCTCTCTATCCGAATTTTATATATATTTTACGACCGTCAGAACAAGCGTATTCGAGAACCAGCACCCATTCCCGAAATTGTTACAAAAATTGCCCCACTTTCAAATTTTAATACGTCTCTAAAACAGACTGCAGCTGTTGTTCCGTCTCTTTCTAGACTGAATGGAGAGCGCGCAACGAGAGATCAATTATGCCCCTGTTATCTGTCGTAAAGTTTATGGTCTATCATCTTGATTTTTATACAACTTTTATTGCTTTAATATCAAATATAGTCATGCCAAAAGTGTTTAGTACTTTATAAAAGCAGTTAATGTTGGATAAAGCTGTAGAAACGGGGGATTAGTGAATTGATAAATAGACCTGAGCGAGTCTAGGTATATTTGGTTCATTTTCACACGTGGGGTCTGCAATAGTTGATGAATTATTATTGCAGTGTTTATGTAAGATAAAAGGTTTCTATGAAAATTATACGTTTTTAAATTTGAATTTTCCGAGCTGTCATAGTTGTTAATACCACTAGTGGAAAAAATTAAGGGATCAAAACAAATATCTCGATTTTTGCGATTTTTCGAGTGGCTGTATCTTTGGTAAAAATGGTCGTACGTGAAAGAAAAAAAAAAGCAATTTGAAGTACAAAATCCTGATGGATAGAAAATTTTTAAATTTTTTTTTTATTTTTAGTGTACGGACTTAAAAAAAATGTTCTAGACATAACCACTATATGCATTGGATAGGTGGTTCAGTTAGCTTCAATTCCTTTTTTCGATGGACTCGAGATGACCCTTCCTTGCTGAGTTATCAGAAAATGAAGGAAAATGCGTCAATATCTCAGAAACCAATGGACGCTCAGAAAATAGAAGGGGAGTTTCGGAAACCTGGATTCATTCTCTATCAGATTCTGGCATGTTCTTTCACGAGAAAAATTTTTTTCGTCCCTAGCAGGACTTTGAAGAATTACGGAAAACAAGTCTTTTTGAGGTTTTTTAGAAAATCACGTGCCACATTGAAAATATTGGGAAAATGAATAATGTTGAGTGTGCATCTTGCAAGCCATTATCCCCGAAAGCCCTACAAAATTTAATTCAAGTACGACCATTTTTACCAAAGATACAGCCACTCGAAAAATCGCAAAAGTCGAGATTTTTTTTATCCCTTAATTTTTTCCACTAATGTATAAATGTGATTAGGTTTGTACTTTGTTTACTTTAAAATATTATCTTAAATTATGCAATAATTTGTTGTTTGCTCCCTTTACAAGTTTTAAAACCTTTCTATTTTTTTTATATCCATAAGATGCTTGTCTATATTTTATGAGAAATTTAAATAACATTTTAGTTTTAGTAAGGTATAACTTTACCGCCCTAGTGATTTAATATATCATTAACAATACATGAGTATGAAAATTTAAATCAACTGATGTCTGTTATCTATATTAGGCTAGACTAGTCAAATTATTCACAAAAAAATTTATTACACAATGAAAACAGTGAAATCACTTATTTTAAAAAAATCCATAATACCTAAACAAAAATCAGAACAGAACACAAATAGGATATATCTGACTATAGATCAGATATATCCTATTTGTGATTCCATTATACCACAGATTAGGGTTAAATTTACTTTTACAGGACATCTGATACCTACCACGTTTTATCAAATACCAGAAAAATATCCTATAGTCTATTTTTATATATGAGAGAGTATTAAAATAATAAAGCGTTCGTAATCCATAGGCGTACCACTTCTTTTAGTAGACAGTTAAAATATTTTTTGAAGTTATTCCTTATATTACACTTATATTTTCACCTAATTAAACTGCTTATAACTTCTAAACAGCTAAAGGTAAAAAAGTGCAATTTTTTCTAAAATGTTTTATTTTTCCACAAGGTATGTTAAGAACATTGTGTCAAACGAGTTATGTAGGTATAAGGGTTTAAACTTTGACTTTTAACAACGTTATGTTCGTAAATAATAATTTTAATATAAAAACTACTTCTTACCTACAAATCCAAATCAGAATTGAAATCAGAAGATGAACTGTCGCAACCAATATTTACAATGAGTGGCTCGATCATTTCATCAGTAATATTGTCCATCTTCCACATTTTCTCTTCTTCTTTAATCGTATGATTTACTGCCTTTTCCCAGTTTTCAGGCTTCACATTATTTACAGCCTCCAAAAACAACTGTTTAACATCATTCATTTTAAAAGAATTATTTTTTCTTGAAACTTCTCCCTTTATCTGTGCCCATATCAGTTCAATCGGGTTTACTTCGCAATGATATGGTGGTGATCTAACCACCGTCATCCCACGATTTTTTTCAATTTCATCAATTTCATATTTTTTGAATTTCTCTTTATGAAGGGAACACAAATGATACAGTTCTTTTCTCACAGAACCGGGATGGAACTTAATATTCTTTGAATTTAGCCAATTCTGTAAATCTTTTTTTAACCACTTGGTTGTGGGCATTTTTTCTATAAGTCTCGAGTGACAACTTGCATTATCCATTACTATTATACAGTTCTGAGGAAGAAGATCTATAATTTGTTCGAACCACTCTTTAAAGACATCAGCATTCATGTCCTCATGGTAGTCACCGGTACGAGTAGATTCAAAAGTCAATAAACCACCATTAACAAAACCGTTTGAACTACCGATGTGTACTATTATTAGTCTGCGCCCTTTAACTGATGGTGGATTTAAACAAGTAGATAAATTATTTAAAAAAGCCTATCTTCGACTTGTAACAGTTTCATCTTGCCAAAATTTATTTGGTTTATGTCCCTCGTTGGTCCATGTTTCATCTAAATAAAATATATTTCTTCTTTGGTTTCTCATTTCTTTTATAGTCCTTCTCCATACTACAATATCGCTTCTTTCTATTAAAATAGACTTTCTGGAATGCTTTTTCCATCGAAAACCTATTTCTTTTAAAAGTTTCCATAGTGTGCTTCGACTCATTTCAGGGTAATCCTTATCATCTCGAACCGTGGCAAGAACTTTGTCTACTGTCGGAAATTATTTTCTAAAGAAGAACGCATGCACTTTCCTTCGAAGTCTTTCTTTCAAAAGATTTTCTAATTGAAATTTTGGTTAAGATACGGCTATGTAATCTTTAATACACAGGGCTTTTGGCCTGTCCAAACTTTTTTCTATTGTTCTGTACAGCTTATGTTTATAAAGGACCAATAAAAGACCCAAATCTTGTAATAGCTCAGGTACATTTATTACAATTTTAGGAAATATTTAGATTATTCTGTAAAAATATTTAAAATGACCGTACTAAGTTTTGCATTAGAAATGCTGTTTTATTACTCTCTCATACATAAAAATAGACTATAGTGCTTGATGACAGTTGTAAGAAAATTTTGACGAATCACATCAGAGACCAAGGAGAAAGAAAAAGTTTCTAACAGATCCAGACCGTTATTATTCATTTGTTTATCTGATGATCCCACCCACGTTCTATTTTTTGCTCAGAGATATCTTCCCCTCCTACACCGTATTTTATAATATTACTATTTATTAATCCAATATCAACAATTTAAAAAACAAATTTGTTTCGTAAATCATAGAAACATAAAATACACCCCAGTTCGATTTAGTAAATTATGTCCATCAAATTAGCACCCGGGTAAAAAAATGTATACGCGGATCAGCATTTTTCTGCATACTTTCGATCAGCTGTTCCTCGTTTCAACGTTTATTCAAAGGCAATAAAACAAATGAATACCGCTGCATAAATGCCAGTGACAGTTTATTGACGGTCATAATTTATGGCCTCCATATACTATAATGTTTTTAAAAAGTGTTCACCTGAATATAACAGTTCTGTGCCATCATCGATTGCATTGGAAAAATTCAACGCGGTATTTTTTTCCAGTCAGGAAAACGATATCGAATTTACGACCGGTATTTTTTATACGCATAATGTTTTTTTTGGTCTTAAATTGTTTGATCTACGGTTAAAATTGTTATTACCCTTTTTGTAGACTATTTAATTTTATATATTTTGTAATAGTCATTTTTTCAGAATTATTAATATTTACTGAGATACAGTGATGCAAACTTTGTAAATATGTAGTTGTTTTTTCAACACACATTAAAATTGGTTATTACAAACATTTTGTAAAGTACGATTTTGACACTTTGTAATACCTAAAAAAGATTTGTTTAATAACGAACTATATCTCAGTAAAAATAAACTTTAAAGCAAAAAATTTTAATCAAAAAGAAAGTAAAATTAACCGTTTTTACGTAGAACTCATACTTTACCATACAAAGCATTAAAAGCATTTTCATTAACTGCAAAAATATACGCAATATTTTTCTGCAAAACTAATTGTTTCCTATGCCTCTTTTTTATTGTGAGAACCTTTTAAACTATTTCTATAAAACGTAAGAGCAATAATAAATCGATTATATTTTGTTTCAGACATCCCCTATTTCCTCTGTTGGCATTAATATTCGAAAAATGCGAATTAGCGACATGTACACCTAGAGAACCGGGAGTAGCGGGGGGAGACGTGTGTTCTTCGGAGTCATTTAACGAAGATATAGCCGTTTTTTCAAAACAGGTAAGTCAGCCATATTTTTATACTAAAATAGCATCGAGTAAGTCGTTAGATACGTTTTTATATCAAAATATCATCGAAAATGGTAAAAAAATTGGTGCGCCGCAAGGTTCAGTTTTCGGACCTATTTTGTTTTTATATATAGGAAGTTTAGGATTTAGTAGGAGAAGTAGTTTAATATTTAATGCAGACCTAAAATCTAAAATAAATAATGCTTATAAATAATTTTATTATTTTCTTATTTCCATTAAAATTTATTAATTAAAAAATTAAAATTTGATCTATGTTTAATAAGTAATGTATTTTATAAAACTAGAATAAAGATATAAAATGCTTGGCATTCTATATTATACTCTATTTTAATAAGATTTTTTCAATATTTTAACCCTTTTTATCCCCCATATATTTATTTAGATTCTTTTTTAGAATTAATAGACTTCATTCCCTTCTAGAGTTTCATTTTTTACTAAAAATATCTTGTTGATATCGCTTTTTGTTTTTGATTCATAATGTTTTTAATTTTAACCCCTTTTAACCTCCCATTTTTAATTAATTTTTTTTTTATATCAAAATAATTCCTCTCCTTATAGAGTTTTTGCTAAAATTTTCAAGTTGATATCATTTTTCGATTTTGAGTTAAGATTTTTTTAAATATTGCAACCCCCCTTAGCCCTCCATTTTTAATCATATCTTTTTTTATTAAAAAAGCTTCTCCCCTTTATAAAACTGGATTTTTGCTAAAAATTTCAAGTTGATATAATTTTTCTATTTTGATTTATGATTTTTTTTTTATTTCAACCAATCTTAACCCGCCCATTTTTAATCAGCTTTTTTTAAAACCAATAATAGGCTTTGTCCTCTTGATTTTTCTTGAAATTTTTGAAAGTTTTTGACCTATTGTGCTAACAAAAAACGTAACATCGGAAATTTGTTGTGAAGGATTTTGATACAAACATTTTTTAAATTATACCAATATTAAAAATTTTGGTTATTTGAAAGTAAACCTATAATACTCTTCAGAAACTACTATGTGAAGAGTACCTATAATAAGAATAACAATTAAAATCAAATTGTGGTTAAAATAACAAAAAAAAAGATAAATTTTGATATTTTTTTGATAATAAATCTTGTTACTTAAAAAACATAATTAAAAAAAATTAAGAAGGTAAGTGAAAGAATTAACAGAACTCACAATAAAAATCATATAGCATAGCTTATAAAAAGTTAATTTGATTTTTGAAAATAAAATAATACAAACAAAATTAGCACTATGTGGTATTTTAGAGTGATACAGACTGAATTACCCTATATAAATGAGCTGAGCTTCAATTTTTACTACTAGATCACAAAATTATACAGTTCCTAATTTTTCAAAATCTCCATTTTTCTTATACCTAGTTGTTAAAAATGAAATAATTAATTTTAAAAATTTAAAGAAGAAAGTACTGGAACTTTATCAATCTGTCAGTTTTTTATGGTAAGTTTCAATCACTTTAAAAATAGCTTCTATTATTCCTGTATATAATTGTGCTGAAACCAATCAAATTATTTCACCCTCTATGAATTTTAAGTATATTTTCTAAAGTTTTTCCAAATATCGAATTTCATAGTTATTTACAAAACTAGCTAGTCATCATTATTACAAAACAAGACATTCTGAATAGCTCTGTATACCAAAGCATAGATAGAACAAAATATTAAAGTATTCGACTTTATAACCATTATCCAAAAGAAATTAAAAATAATAGAGGATAGGAACTTTAAGAACAAAATTTACTTGTATTATACATTCTTTTCAACTCTAAATGATTATAAAATATACTAAAATTAAATAGTTTCAAAAACTACCTAGTAATTTAGTAATCTTGTAGAATCTATAGCATATATTTTCTAAAAGCAAATGATATTCTTCTTTTTTGATATTTATAATAAAATATATTAACTAAATTCAATATATTTTTTATCTTTATGCAATCATTATTTCACCAAAACTTTTAAAATCCAAAAAATCATCAGCAGAACAAAAATACATAAATCACTGACTACGGTAACCTGTAATTACAGGACCCCGACAACAATTAAAAATATAATTAAAATACCAACAATAGAGTGCAGCTATGTTAATTGTAGCGTGCCCTAAGGGATGAAAAAACCGAAAGGGGTAATTATAGGATGGGATTTAACGGAGCACTTTAAAAAATGTTGAATATAACTACTTAAAAATTTAGAAATAATTGTTATTTTTGATATGTGAGTTAATTATTTGTTTTTAAAATTGCACAATTCACCTACTTGTGACATAGGAGTTCTCTACAATAATTGGCACATATAGAGTGAAAGAAAAGTTTGGAAACTCCTGTTTTTCCGATAATATCGGTCATTTTGATTTTGTAATTGGTACAGAAAATAAATAATTATACATTCTCAAGTTTGACATATCTTTTAACTGTGATTAAAGTGTAGAATTAAAATTTTTTAACAATATATAAACAGTGCACTGAATAAACGAAAATTAAGTAATAAATACATGATCGAACAACATTCTGGATTCACTATTCCTTCTATTATATAAAGATAGAGAAAACAATAGAAGGAATGGTAGATATTGGCTTATGAAGTAATAAACGAAAATGTAACGCAAATGGTCTAATCACATTGAGGAATTTAAAGATATAGAAAATTTGAGAAGGAAGAGTAAAATCTTCAAATATATCTTCAAATAAACCTAGACTTATTTATATTTAATTTATCTATAAGCATAATCACGAACTCAAATGCTTTTAGTCCAAAATATGACAGTCTAGTCTCTGAATCTTAAATCAAAAATGAGTCATAAACTTTTTATATTGCTATTATAAGAAATAATTTCAGATTCTTTTTGACCGCATCTTACAGTAGAGCAAGCGATAAAAATTGATCTAATTTTAGTAGGATATGGGATGAGGTTTTAGATACATTTTTTGAATTACTATTAATTAAATTAGAAGATTCTGCAAAATTTTTATATTGAAAAGAAAAGTATAATTGTGTATCATCAGCATACAGGTGATCGTTTAGGAAATATTGAAAGTTGCTAGTATACATAATGAATAATAGTGGACCAAAGATACTGCCTTGAGGAATTCCTAGTTATAATAAAAAAAAATTGACTTGTTTTCACCTATTTGTACTCTTTGATAAGAGGAATTCAACGATGCAAACCACTTCTCATAGTTTAAACGATAGTTATTTAACAAAAACACTTGTTTCTGTTAAAATTTCCCCAAATTTGATCTGAAAATCCTATTTTCTGGCCTTACGGATAACTCAGCGGTGCCTTTTTAAAGGCCATTTTGTAGAGCTTTTAAAGAGGAATTTAATGACTTCTTCATGGTTGAAACGATAGTCAAGTTATTTAACAAAACCTTTTTCTCTTAAAATTCAATCTGAAAATCCTATCTGAAAATCCTATTATCTTGCTCTACAGACAACCAAGCATAAATTAGTAAAAACCAGTTTGTAGAGCTATTAAATAGGAAAATGTATCAAAAAACGCGAATAATGAGTGATTTAACAACTTAATATATCAAAAGCTTTGATATCTACAACCTGATTTAAATCATCAACTAAATCAGCAAAGGCAGCGGCGCAACTATGTCCATTACCAACTCCAGATGGTTCTATAGGTAATAAATTAAATTTATTTAGGTGTTCTCTAATTTATGCATTTAAAATAGACTTTAATTTAGTCCTTTTGAGTATTAGTTATCCAGGAGCTCTAAAACTTCAATACCGCACCATTTTTCCTGTTTTAAAAGTACGAATCCACGTGTCTAGTTAATTTATGTCGTTCTTCTTTGATTCTTCCTCGATATAATCAATTTTTTTCGCAACGTCGGTCACCTGGTCGCGGCAAAATACTTTTGCTCATTTACCTGCCAATCTGACAATGGTGTTTACTCCCCATAACCCATCGGGATTAGGCAAAGCCATTTCGGGTAACAATCGCCACAATGCTTACCACCTAGGTAGGGATTAAGCAAGCAAGTTGCTCTTTTTCCGTTCAACCCGACGGGGCATCGAAAACGAAAAATTACCAACAATAAGTGCAAGCCAGTTATCGGGTGTGCATCTAAGGTACAATAAGTTCGCGACGGGGGGGTACCTAAGCACAAAAAAGTACAACTTTAACAGATTTAGTGCATTTAAACAGTGGCGCAGGGGGCTTGGATAATAATAATATTAATTTAGTTAATAAAAAAACACTAAACGAATAAATAATGTATATGTAAGTAAATTCGTTAGAGATAAATACAAATACTCATAAAAATTAACCTAGATCCTAGATTATTTCAAGTTACTTAAGAAGAACAGTTTTAATATACAATATTAAAAAAAGTGTTGGAAGAGAATAAGCAGAAGAATCAAATAATAAAGAATTTTCCAGAAGAACAAAAGGATAGAAGACAAACAAGATTAAGGTTTACTAAAGATCAATTAAATAAATATATATATATGTATGCATATAGCTTGAATCTAGGACATTAAAATAAATATATGTGTATTGTTCTAATTAAAGTTAATTAAATGGACCAATACATAAGAGACTATGCTGCTGAAGAAATTGATACAAAGGTAATAAGTCATGTAAGTGATTTCAATATGTTAGAAAAGAATATCTTCAACCATTTTAATATTTTCCATAGTAATTAATTACATGTCAAGACGTAACACACTACATTGATTTTTAAGAAACTATCAAAGAACATTTGTACTTAAACTGAAAATAATATAAATGCTAAAAACTTAGATTAAAAAAAATACCTATAACCTTTGTATCACAAAAAAGTAATAAAAAATAAAAAAAAATAAAACCTCTTTAAAAATTATGAATATTAATCTACTATAAATAATGTGCCATATACGAGGTCTGATCAAAAAATAACCATTATTTTCAATTTTTTTCAAAAAGTATTTATTTATTCATCAATAACTATCTTGTCCCCTTCAAAGTAATCCCCCTC